AAAGAAAGTAGCTTATCCTACATTCATGGGATGTAGGTGTGATGGCAAGGAGGGCAAGAAATGTTCTACCAAATTAAGGATCAATGACAAAATTATATTTCAAAATAAATGTTCTTTTTATGGTGAGATTATATGTGGAAAAATGGTTTCAGAAATGCAGTTGCCAAAGTGGACAAATACACTAAAATGGTGCGCGCGTACACGCGCGCACACACACACAGAGAGAGAGAGAGAGAGAGAGAGAGAGAGAGAGAGAGAGAGAGAGAGATGGGTTTACAACATTTTATATTGTAAAGTATTAATACAGAAGTGAAAAAGAAAACATTTCACTTGCTTTATATTGGAGATTATTGTCAGGGCTGAGCCAAGATATCAGTCAGAAGTGACCCAGGAGTCTACGCGGAGCCAAAGAGCATAAACAAAAGTGCCAAGCAGAATTTCTTGTTAGACAGACAATGTCCCAGACCAAATGGAAAGCCTGCCCAGGCTTCTAGGCTCCTTTCTGTCTAGGAGGGTCCAATAGCCAACTTGGGGGTGGGCTCAGAGCACCTAATTGCCGCTGGGATGATCTAATGGAAGGAGGACTTGGAATGCTCCGTACAGTCTAATCAATGGAAAGTTCCTCAGCTTCCAGATGTACTATTTCTATAAGTAGTATTTCTATATAAAATTGAGGCTGATTCAAGAAAAACTGATGTTTCACAAATAGTGGACAACACAAAGTCTTGTTAAGAAGAACTGGCTAGTGTCTCCTGGGGCATATAGTGTGGTCATATCCTATAGCAGCTTTCTTTGGGTTGAAATTCATGACTTGTATACACTTGGTCTGTGAAAAAATCTGCGATAATACCAGATGCCCCTGCAATTTGGGGATTAACAGATGGGAAGCAAAAGTGGATATTGGAAGCCCTTATAGTTGCAAAGAGACTTCCCTTGGGTCTTTTAGGAGTGTGAATTTACATTAAAACAAGATATGTCCTCCCTGTAGCCCTTTGCTTTCAAGGGAAAAGATCTTTTCTCATTGCTGAGTTGCAGCCAACTTGCTGGCAGTGATTTTACCAGTGGGGTGCATGGAAATTGGCCCCAAATCTTCTCATTCCTGTAAATGTCTCCTCAGAGGTCAGTCCCTTGACTTACTCTAATGATGACTCTACAAAGTCTCACAGATGTTGTGTACAGACATGTTTTGTTTGTCCTGAAGATGAAACTTTTTCCGTGGCTCTGCTGAATCATGCAGCTTGTCCTACAACCTCTGGAATTCTTGTGGCACACTTGCATCTCAGATAGAGCAGCATGATGTTGGGCACAAGGTGGGAGTGCCCTATAGTAGGGATTTTGGATGCTTAGGTATGGTTTTGGACAGAGCAGTAACTCATTGTTCATTTTGTTTCCAGCAAAGTCTGACAGTTTCAGTATTAATGTGAAGTGCTTGTGCACCTCTGTGCTTTTAGGCTAGTCATAGATGGTATTTTTGAGGCCACACACAGGCACCTTTTTCAGTTCTGGCAAGAGGCACTCAACCAAGCTCATAAATTACAGCCATAAATATTTAGTGAACTCATATGTGTGGTTTTTAAAATAAAGTGGAGGAAAACCTGGGCCTGAGGAAACACAGCAGTTCTGAAGGAAAGTAATTTATATTTTGAATGGGGAAGGGGATTCTTTTTATGCAGCTTGTAAAAAAAATTCTTCGGACATTTAAAACAGATTGGAATCTTTGTAAACGATCCCTTCCTCAGCTTGAGTGCAGATTCTTATGTAGTCAAAACACCACCATCTGTGCGAAAGAGGAAATGATCAGCAAGCTGCAGATTTGCGAAAGTATAAAAATGTTAGGGAGAAAACCATCTCACAAGCAAACAAAACTGCCTAATGATGATTGAGCATGTTCAGTGGGCATTGAATGCTAGCAGCGTCAGGGGAATGGAATGGAGTCTCCTGGAGCAGGATATGGCTGGCTGAAAACCCAGAAAAGGGGCATTCCATACTGGAGCATTGTGCTACATGTCCCATTTGTACCTTTATATCAGAGCTGGGCAACCTTTCTGACCCCTGATAGCCACATGCAGTGATGGGCAATGAGTGAGGACCACATGCTGGCAGTGAGTTTGGCTGAGATGACCAGCATGCTGAATGCCCCCCACTCTCTCGCACGCACACACATCCTCCCACTCTCTCTAAAACCAAATGCATACCCCTTTCCCCTAGACACGTATAAAGGAGAGAAGGTCTTGATGCACACTCCGTTCCCCTTGATGCATAAATGGAGAGAGATCTCCTCACAGGAAGTCCTCCCTGTTTGAAGTAGGTAGTCTGAGAGGGACTATGAGGGACCATGGTGGCTCCAGGAGGAAGGCAGCTGCAGGCCACAGCGCCGTACAGGCATCCATGGGGCACATATAGCTCACACATTGTGGGTCGCCCACTAGTGGTTTTCCATATAGACAATGGAAACTATGACCTGGGGAAGTTGTGGGCTCTCCCTCCCTAGAGACACTCAGACAACATCTGAGTGGGATGGTTTCACTTAGTGTCCTGCACCAGCAGGGGGTTGGACCTGATGGCCTTCTGGCCCCTTCCAACTCTGTTAGTCTATGATTCTGTGAAAACAACACAGGAGATGTGCCCATGGCGAATAAATATTAGAGGTATGAGCCAACTAGAACACACTCAGACTCCAATTTAGTGCTTTGGAAAATGGCCTGATTCAGCTTGAATGGATCCACAGGGTACCTGCTTTGACTCAGAGAGCAACCTGAGCCAAAACTTGGAGATCAGAGGCTTTGTGCCTGTTCCCATGTGTCTGACTTAGCCACAGCGACACATGCCTTAATTGCATCATGTTTGGATTGCTGTACCACTTTTCACGTGGAGCTGAATTGGACGAGGATTCAGGAACTCCAGCTGCTTCAGAGGGCCGCTGCCTGACTGTTGCTGGCAGACCTTCACTGGCTGCCCATCTGTTTCCAGGCACAATGCACAGGGCTGATTTTGACCCACAAAGTTCTACAGCACTCTGAGCCAGGCCTTCTGAAAGACTGCATTTTCCCTTATGAGCCTGCCCATACTCCAAGATTTTCTGGGAAGCCTGTATCTTGGTCACAGCCTGGTGGGCATGTGGGAGAGGGCTTCTCAGTGGCTGCTCCAAGCCTCCGAGGCTCCCTTCCAGTGGGGGAGGGGGCGAGATTGGTGCCCTCTCCGTTCTGTTCTCAGAGGCACACACAAACCTTTCTGTTCCCTTAGGCCTTTGGGAATATTCTAGATCTGTGAAACTACATTGGAATCCTGTTCTGCATATTTTAGTATGTTTAATTTTGGCATTTTCCATAATTGTAACAGTCTATTGATTTAATTATATTTTAACTTTGTATATTTCTATGTATATTTTAATTGTATAATTGTTTACTATTGTAAGCCATCTTGAGTTCCAGTACTGGGAAAAGGACGAATATAAATACATTGTTAGCAGTATCCTTGATGATATTTTTAGAGAGGTTTACAAATCCATGGAAGCCACACAACTTGAGAAAATCTGGTCTGCTATAGAATATGCAGGTTGGATTAATGGAAATCTAAACTCACTTGATTTAGTTGCAGAATTCTCCAACATTCCTCATGTTCAGTGATTCTCTGCCTTCACAGATCAGTTTCAGAAAACCTGTCACTGCTTTTCTGCAGCAGATTTTCCCCTGGCTTTACTAAAGTCTCAGTATGAGCTGCTTTCACATATAGGGTTCAGAGGAGGGCAACAAGGATGACCCAGGGTCTGGAAACAAAGTCCTATGAGGAGAAGTTGAAAGAACTGGGCATGTTTCACCTCAGGAAGAGAAGACTGAGGGGAGATATGATAGCACTTTACAAGTACTTGAAAGACTGTCACAAAACAGAAGGACTGGATCTCTTCTCAGTCATCCCAGAGTTCAGGACATGGGATAATGGGCTCAAGTTACAGGAAGCCAGATTCTGGCTGAACACCAGGAAGAACATCCTGACTGTTAAGCAGTATGACAATGGAACCAATGACCTAGGGAGGTTATAAGTGCTCCCACATCAGAGGCATTCAAGATGCAGCTGGACAACCATCTGAGAGGGATGGTTTAACTTGGAGTCCTGCACTGAGCAGGGGGTTGTACCCGATGGCCCTTTGTCCCCTTCCAGCTCTGCTATTCTATGATTCGATAAGAATTCTGATTTTTGATAAAGATTTAGTGGCTAAGGGAAAAGAAAAGGTCTCTTGCAGTTGTATGATTTTATTATGTCTTTTCAGATATACAGGCTACCTCATGTTTTACAAGAAAGACTTTCAAGTGTCCATCATTGTCAGCCACCAATCTGGAGATATATGTTTGTCCAGACAACATTTTGATGGTTGCTGCTGTCACACTTGACAGAGGGTGGTCACTGGAGTGAAAGAAGGGCCTGAATTCAGTTGCTGTGAATGCTGTTTAATATTATGTCCCTAGCCTGGGGAATTGCAGTCTAACACTTCTGGAGGGCCCCAGGATGGGGAAAGGAGGGATACCACAAAGTTGGGTGGAAAGACCTTCCACAAGCTGAGCCCTTGCAGGAGGTCCATTCCTACTGCAGAAGGCAGGTCCTGGTCCAACCCCCAGTCTTCCATTTGTATCTCTTCCATGTTTTTTCACCACTTCTTCCACCTCTTTTCTTACCACAGAAAATCCATTGTAGAGACGCAAATGGAGCAGGTGCTTACAATAACATATAAAGCCCAGACATCCTGGGGCCAGGGTATCTGAGGCAACACCTATCTCCATATATACCAACCTGATCACAAAAGGTCGTCATCTGAGGCACTTCTCTGTATTCCTCCCCTCAATGAAGTAAAGGAGGAGACAGCAAGGAGGAGGATCTTTTCCATAATAGCACCCCAGCTATGGAACTTGCTTCCATCCAAGATCTGGCGGGTATCATCTCTTTATTCGAGACATCAATTAAAAGTGTTTTTATTTCGCATCCATTTTGGCAGGTGAGCTAATTGGTTTAATGGTTTTAATTGTCTGTATATTGTTACTTGCTGCTGTTATATTATGATTTTATAGCCAAATAATGTTTATTTAATTCCATTATGTATATTTTTTTATTTTATCTGCCTTTCAGGTTGTTTTAAATGGTCTAATATATTGAATGCTTAATTTTATGTCCCCTTCTTATATCATATTATATTATCTTATTTAGCTCATTTTATTTTACTAATTTTATTTATTGCTTTTATTCTGTATTGTTGGTTATTATATTTTATTATGATATGTATTTCAATTCATTGTTTTAATTGCAGCATTCTATGTTGTGAACTGCCCAGAGAGTCTATGGCTAAGGGGGTGGCATACTAATTCAATTCAGTCCAGTCCAGTCCAGTCATCAATAAATAGCTGTTGCATGTTGTCCGTAAATTGGTAGCACTAGAAACTGTTTGCCTGGATGTGCCTCAGCAATGTAAGTTTTCTAGGAAAGGCTTGGAAGTGTGGGACACCAGGATACTGCCCCCTTCTCATGATCCAGGGTTAAAGAACTCTAAAATAGAGCTACAAAAGTGAAGAATTGTTTTTTTCATCTTTGCCCTTTGTACTTTTTTTGCGTCACTCGACAGACTTCCTTTCCCAACTCAGTATAAACTGGAATGCTTTTCCTCCCTTGTTCCAACAAACCATCTAAAAATGCCACAATGCAGTTTTCCTTAAGGCCTTGCACAATTTCCTCTTTCTTGTTGTTTTCTCATCATTGCTGTGCTGTTCCTCTAATGGAATAAGGATTTTAAAGCTTGGTTTGAAATGTGTGAGGTAATCTAAAAAAGGCTTGCAGAAAATGTGTGTGTGTGTGGGGGAGGCTTGGGGGACCTTGTCAAATCCCAGCCACAGAAGAGTTCAGAAAACATGTGTGATCAATTTTCACGGTGGGCTGATAAGCGACACTTCTTGCCTCAGGTAAAAGCTCAGGCTCATGCACCAGTGAAAATAATCACGTCTCTGTCTCTAGGCAGATGTATATTCTGCTTCGGGGCCTGTATTATTTTCAGATGTCCATGCCTTTGCTCAGATGCGAAGAGTGAAGGGATTGATGCATGGCTTCAGATTATATTTCAAATGCAGACCTTTGAAAGGACTACAGAAAGCCTCCCCTGCCCCCTTTTCTTCATTCCCACAACAGAGTTGACAAATGACGCCTCTTGCGTGCAAAAGGGTTGTCACTTAAATTATAGCTTTGTAAACAGGAACACAGCAACATGTTTTGCAACTACAAAGCATGAAGCTAGACATAGAGAACCATGGAAAATACAATTAACACAAGTTCACCTTATTCCACATCACAACTAAAGTCTTGGCTTTCTCATCTTATGGAAAACCTTAGAAACCCATTCCCTCCACATCTCCCCCTCCCTGCAAAGAGAAACCTCCTAGAAAAATAATCCTCTGGTGCACTGACATATTAAAACACTACATTTTGGTCATGTCACCCAGCTTGAGTCTATATATACACAATAAAAATAAAAGAAATAAAATTACTTCCTTATATATAGTGGCCCCAGCAATGTGGTGTTTCTTAACCATGGGTGCTTTCACATGGAGGGCTACCAAAAGGCATTGTGCAAATATCCCATCTTTTCGTCTTTGATGGATTATCCAGGTAGAAAATTTTAAAAAAATGGTGAAAACATGCGTTATGAGTGAATCCCCTGTAAAATCCCATATCTGGGTCCCCTGTAAAATTCCATGAATGATGCAGAAGGTAGGAATAATAAAAGCCCCACATCACAGAATCCGATGTCAGTGTTAGAAACTCTACAGTGGAAATGGGAATCCTCTGTCTATGGGCCTAACCCAGCCCTCAAAGGTTTTTACCCCTTCCCACTAGGAAATCCTGCTTTTATGTCTGATCACTGATTGGAAACAACAATAGGATTCTCCTTTGTTTGCTGCTTGCTGCCCAAGGAGTAGCTTGCAAACCATGCACACCCCTTGGTCCTTCCTTGGAGGAGCAGCTCCTCCACGCGACAGCTCCGTCCCTTCGGACTTTGCACAGAGTCTCATTTGGAATAAGAAGTGGCCAGTGAAGGGGAATCCCTGCTGTTATCTCCCATCAGTGTTCAGAGATAACAACAGGAACTCTCCATTCGTCATACCACTGAAGGATGGTGTGTGGCTCACAGAGCAGGCACCAGATTTGCTGGCACGCAAAGGAGCACGCTTCTCTCTGCATGGGGAACGGTAAAATGAGAGTGGTGCTTGCATCCTTTTGACAGCAAAAAGGAAACACCTCACTCCTGGCGCTTAGCAGGTAGTGGTACCAAAAAGGCCCAAGGATGAAAGTCCTACTGAAGTCCCCCTGGGAGCTTTTCAGAAAGTACAAGTGGTTGAAGAGGCTATAAAAGAACTTGAGGAGAGGACTTAAATTCAAAGGAGAGAGTGCAGCGAAATTTCAGCTGCCTTGTTAGAGTAAGGGAAGCCCTAAAGCCCTTCATGCTGAAGAATTCCTGCTACCTACTTCTGTGAAGGAAGCAGAAAAATGGACTCATTTTCAGGGAAGCGAAGAAAGGCAGGAGCAGGTTTGGCACAGCACCAAATGCATGCAGTTAAGGGCACAAGCCCACAATTCTTGCAACTCACAAACTTGGAGGTTTACAGGCAGAGCAGCTGGAGCAGCTGGAGAGATCTTTGCCTTGCATCTCCTACTCTGCATTTCCACTAGATGGCCATTTTCAGACATTCGGCTGAAGTACTTTGACATTAGAGGGAAATAGATTAGAGTGCCATCAAGCTAGTTTGAATACTGGTGGCCCAAGACCTCTATTCAACCCCTGAAATGCACATGTTTCCACTCTCCTGACCTCAGAGAGGCAGCTGGTGTGGATCTTTCCAGATGGGCTGCAAGGGTGTGGAGATTGGAACATAGATTCCCAGCTCTGAGACCAGAATGTGATCTCTGATCTCAGACTGGGAACCCAACTTATTCTGTCACCTCTTAGATGCTATCTAGGGGCCATAGGATTGCTTTCTAAATCCATGAATTTGGGTATTGAAAATGTGAATGATGAAGCATCTAAATATACCACAGCTGACCCAGACACTGATTTAGTATCCCATCTCAAACTTTTTGGAAGAATCTTGGCAGATGAATAGCATCTGAATTCAGGAAGGAGTGCTTGGGACAAACTTTTACCGCCTCCGCTATAGCCTGGAACTGACTGTGACAAAGTTGTGGCATGAGATGTTCTGGTTCTTTATGGTTTAAAGGAAAGAGAGGTAGAGTTCATTGAAGGAGATGCTATCTTCTCAGGTAGAAACATCACCATTTTTATTTCCGAATGGCTTCCGGCCTTCCTTTAGCTACCCTACAGAAGTATTTAGGATGGAAAAGGATTCCAACTGAAAAGGAATCAGTCTACCTTGTCTCACAGTGAATCCTGCAACAAATGTATCAGAAAGAGCAATATTCAGCAGAGCAATCTGCCTTGGTACCCTCAAGATGATTTAGAATACAGCATGGCTGGCTACACATCATGTTTCTGTCCCACCCTTCTTCCTGTAAGGAACCCAGGCTGGTTTATGTAATCCTCCCCCTTTGTTTTATGCTCTCAACAAGCCTGTGAGATCAGGTGGGCTGAGAACAGAGACTGGGCCAAAGCCATCCTGAGTTTCATGGCTCAGTGGGGACTAGAACCTGAGTCCCAGTCCAACACTACCCCATGCTGGTTCTCATGCCACACTAATTCTTGGTTTCTAATGCCAAAACTGCTGCTCCAAAATGCTTTTTCCTCCAGGTTTATTAAACTGCAGTAAATTGATTGCATGGAACCCTAATGCAACCAAATTCATAATCAATATACTAAAATATAGGTGACAGTTACTTCTGAATGTTATGATAGAATCCTCCAGTCAAAAATATGGAGGATTTCATAGTATCCTTCATAAAAATATATGTACAAATATATAGATATATATTAATGAAAGGAGCATTCAGAAACAGAATAAGTATATTAGGTGAAATTGCATATAAATTCTGTTTGTTTAAATATGTGCTCAGAAATGCAAGAATATTATTCATGTAAAAAGCATAATAACTTCAAACTGATGTGAAAATGGCATGAACATTATTTATGACTGGAAAAATGAGAAGTGGAGAGAAACTGAAATGGGCAGATTCATCCATACTTACTTCCAGGACCTTCAATGACAGTGAAGCAACTTTAAGCATCAACCATTTATTCTAAAGTACAGTTCTGGAGTGACTGCATGCATAAAGAAAAGCCATTCTCTCAACAGCAGCCTGACAATTCAAGCATCTGTTGACTGCTTTTGACAGGAACACACTATCCCTTTGAATGTAAAGCTTTCTTTTAAGCCATTTCCTCTTGAGGTTCTTCCAGCTTCACATGCAGACACAAACATGGAAAAACAGTCAGAGAAATACATGTCAAACTCAAACGCTGACTTCGAAATGAGCTGTGTTAATTTCAGCAGGCATTCTGGCTGTTCAAGGGAAGGCAGGAGAAGCCTCTTACCATCAAACTGTGTTAAAATGATACTTTCAACTTCAAATGTTTGCTCACTCAAGCCTGCGATTAAATGTCTTTCCTAAACTAATAACATTTGCAAATACCAAGCCATTTCTGTGGGCACATGTTTGCTTTGTCATTTCCTTGACAGTATATGCAAATTGAATTGTCAGAACAATCTGTAAACATCAAGTGAATTTAAATGAACATTTATGATTTTAGAGTTTGATTAAATATGTTCCAATGAACTTTTAGCAGATTTAAATTCACTTGACATTTACTCATATTGCTACTTGTGGGAAAAGCAAACTTACTTGTATCCCAAATGAATTGATTTTTCAAAGAGAAAATCAGGAGTCAGAGAATTTATGTCTCCTGTAATGTCCTTCTAAGATGTATTTACCATGTAGACAAGAAATATTTATCTACCTAACTCATTTGAGTAAAGTCGACAGGAGCCAGATGGAATGCCTGGAGTAAAGTCACAATGCCTAAACTTATTTAAATTTAGGGGCTGTTTTCATTTTATGGTAATAGTACAGTCAATCATATTTATCTTAAAAGAAGGGTATGGTTTCGTTCTAACACTGTAGCATACATGTGCTGAATTCAGGTTGATTTGTGTTAAAAGGGTCTTTTTTTTCATCATCTAGTGGACTTTACAGCTACATGTTGTGTTGTTGCCAGATTTCAAATTAGCAGGCTCAGAATGCAATTTTCCCCAGCTCCTAATATCCAGGTACATTCTGAACAGAGCACCATTGCTTTGGAAGGCTTCCTCTGATCATTTAAAACTGAAGTTGTTGTGAGCTCATGTGCCAGTTTTTTGTTTGTGGAGCCTGCATTCATTTTGCTGGTCCCAGGAGACCTTGTTGATGCATGCTCAGAATGAGAATGGACATACTGGCTGGTTTTGCTTTCTTTCCCATTTGGATGGTTAGGTGAGATGGTTGATCAGATCCTGCCCTAACTAAAGAACAACCCTGCAACTGAGCTGGATCTAGGTGAATTTTCTAGTTGCGGGTGGTGAGAAGGTGTTGCAAGCCCTTTTGTCTGCATTGGAGGAAATACTGTTATATTTGTATATGCTTGATGGTACTTTTGTTTATGCAAAAGATGGATGAGGCAGGCAGGAAAGCCTTGTGGGAAGGATGTTGAATGTCTCTCACCTCAAGGGATGAATTTATATCTGGAGAAGCTCTTGGGGTGTACATAACAGGGGTGGTGATCCTGGGGGGCAAAGAGGCAGAGCCATAGGCAAAAGGGGCAAGGCGAAACGCCACTATATCGTAGCTTAAAGCTCTTGCTGCCAGTGACTAAGCCTTAATAGGGGGAATGTTAATCCTTTTAGGATGAAATGGAATAAAAGCCCACGAAAGGGTTTGGGACTGGGGAAGCAGACACGGCTCTCTGGGGAAATGCCAAAAGGCCAGACTGGGGCAACTGGAGGGCTCAGTTGGGCCCCAGGCCTGGCTTTCCCAGTTCTTGCCGTATGGCTTTGGACCTTGGTGCTGTATGAATTATTCCTGCCCACGGTTGCCTAGGCAATGCAGTGCCTTCCCCCATAGCACACTAAATTTCCTGAACAGCACTGTGACAACACTCATACATCCCAGAGAGAAAGACATGCTAAAAGAATTGCAGTCAATAATGACTTCTTAAAAATATCT